CTTTGGGTGACAGGAATACATTAGTAAATGTTCTCATGTGACACAACAGAGAACTAAAGCTCCCAGAAAAAGGTTTGGCTATAGTTCTCTTTTAAGCTATACCCAAATGGTGGGCTATTCTGGCCTGGCACATTTCAGAACTTTCTGGTATTATCATAATCACTGGAATAATCTGAAGGATGTTTGAAAAATTAATGCAATATAAACAATTTTGGCAGTGAAATAGTACTGTTATTTATAAAGATCTCTGAAAAAGGAGCTAAAAGGGGGACATATTAAAGCTGAATAAGGGAAATAGAGGGAATAGAGGGGTTTAGTTCCAAAAAAGGAATCATCCCTTTAAATTTGGGAGCTATGCTCTTGGCCTACTCTTGTGGTCTGGGCCACAGGAGAGCTTTGGTTAAATAGGGTGATTTTTTTCTCTCACCAATTCTGCAAATGTTCAGGGTATAACTCCTTCTACTAATGGGTCTAGTTGCCCCGTTTAGGAATTGTTTTTTGTTTTTTTTGCTCTAAACATCCGCGTTAGAATTGTTCTTCCAGAAACCACCGTCCTTAATCCAGATTGGACGAGGATTTTTTTTCCCCCACAGAACAGATCCTCAGTAAAAGAATATAGTGCGAGGAAAGGATCCATTGTAGGAACCCCATAAACCTTGAGGCTATCAGTCCCCCGACACTATGGCCAAATTCTGGGCTCTCCTGCTCTGGTATTGTCTGGGCAGAGCACAGGGGCTGAAAGCTACTCTCTGCACCTCTAGTCCTCTGTACTTTATACTTGTCTGCTGTATCTTTTTTCTGTTAAAGTGAGCTGTAAGCTGGCTTTGGTTCTAAAGTAGTTGTAGAGAAGGCTGGCATGACGTTCTTGGATATGTAGTTCCAAAGGTTACAACATGGCTTCTTTTTTTAGCAGTCCCTGTGCAGTATTTACACAGTACAGTCTATATGCAAATACCTTCAATGTATTCACAAAGATGATTATTCAGAATTTCCAGGCTTAATATTTGGCATAATAATACTCTACTTTTAGCCCTGGCAGCTCACATTTCTCACTCCATGAAGCCAGGCAGAGGTGATATTCCACACGTCTCCCCGTAATGCCACATCACAGCGTACAGAGAATATTAATACTGACACCAAGTACTTCTGCAAATGCTGTGGTATTGGACACAGCGAGTCAGGACTGACTAGAAAACTCTGCTTAATCCTCAATCAGCGGTGAGAAAGGCGAATTGCCTCACACGCACTTTACAAGGAATAACAAATGAGAGAAAGGACTAAGGATGTGTAATCCTTTTATCCCATGAAGTGCTGGCGACATTCTGAACTCACTTCTGGATGCTAAAGACAAAGCACAACAGTTGCCCATAGAAACCAATTGTATTCCAGTTTTTTGAATGAATAAAATATAATGTGTTATAAATTGCTGGAGGTAACGGATTCACTTTTGTGCCATTTTGTTTTTTTAAAGTGTACTATAATGGAACCACTTAGATGTAGAGTAGAGGTGCGCAGAATTGGAGGCCGCCTTGTTCTCATGGTACACTTGCATATCTCATAACTTTTTGATATGGGAAGGAGGAACATTTTAGCATAGAATATTTAGGCAATGGATACACCCCTGCCACAAAGAAACATAGAATAGTGACAGCAGAAGAAGATCGAGTCCATCGAGTCTGCTCCCTATTTTGTATAGATCTGCTTGTCCTAAACATTACACAGAGCATGATTAATAAAGCACAGCAATTATCACTTAAACTCCTGCCACTAACTCCTAATTTATCTGGCCGGCGACTGCCAGAGGTGCCGCGCGTGTCGGGATCCTCTGGCAGTCCCTGCCCAGCTAAATTAGGACCCCACCTGGAGCTCCTCCCACCGGACCAGCGCTGACTCGCCGCTGCTCTCCCGCACCGAAGGTAAGTGAAAAAAACCAAAACATAGCGCAATCATCGGGACATTTTGACAAGTACAAGTACTCGTCAAAATGCCCTGTTTTCTCCGCCCTCACCCTGCTGCGCCCTCAGGCGGCCGCTTGCCTTGCCTTGCGGTAGCGCCGGGCCTGCTCACATGAGATTCCCGGCCCTGTACAGCAGAGCTTAGAGTAGGGGAGGGAGAAGCAGCACATGGAGCCAATCAGCACATCTGCTGACAAAAAGCCTACTGATAGGAAGAGAAAGCGGAGAGAGAGAGAGATGAGCCCATCACTGTGCTGCTTCTACTTTTACTGCCTAGTCAAAAGCTGGGGGCAGATCGAGGATAACCTGGGCTCAGAGAAAATGGGTTAAATTATGCTGGCCATCAGACTGGGGATTGAAGGTGAATATTGCAGCAGAATCTGGTTTTGTTATTTTATCTTTAAACGCGCTATTCCTTTTTATTTTTTATTTTGGCTGGAGTTTTGCTTTAACTTATCATAATGTTCTTGTATATCTGATAGGAGGGATGAAAAATACATTGTCATATACATATCATTTACATATGTCACTGATTTATATGTTGTTTCCACATGATCCAGAACTTCAACACTGGGCAGCGTGCTCATTTATTTCAGACAATGTGGCATAGGCTCTCCATACAAGGGGCGTACTGTAGACAAATGCGCATTTTAAGTATGTCTGTGCCACGCACTGACAGAAACAGAAGAAGGTTTTATACCTCGGACTTGTCACGTACAGAGTGTTAACATACTGAAACTGTCCGGCTCCCACAGCAGTTGTTTGCTAATGAACCCGAGGCCTTTACAACCTGCGGGAAATTACTTACAAAATGACTATTATTTCAACATTAACCCACTTTCAGAAAAGAGCATTGGAAGTGACAAGGTAAATGGATACACTATTATTTACTCAGAGACCTGCAATTACCTGGATTCTGCGGGCACAATTATTCTTAATCCCGCAGTTTCCAACACTGAGGTCTCGCACCGACAGGCCGCTTCTGGTTGACGGTGAATAGGCGGCTTGTCTGCGTACACATGTGTAACAAAATACAGAAATAGCCGTACCCGTATTCTGTTCCATATGAAACCATGATCCCCGGTATATTACAATAATCCACAAAGCTTACTTAATAAGTCTTTCTAGATAAAAAACAAATAGGCAAAGATTTACATGGCACTGCGCTGCTACTTATTACATTTAGTTGCAAATAGTTTTACCAGATTTGCACCAAAGAGAAACATAAGATTTGCAACAAAAAAAGAGTGTAGAGACTCAAATGTCTTTTTAGGTATTTCAAGAATGTGAAGTCTTTTCAGGTATGTTTTAGCTTTTTTTTGAAGGAATATATGGATAGAAATGTAAAAGAGATCTAATTAGTGAATAATCTTATGAATGTATATAAAAGCAACTCTGCGCTACACCTACTTCTAATTCTATAGCTGCCGAGACAAATAAATATTACATATTTTTAAATTAAACTGTGCAGTGCTAATTAACCGCCCGAATATTACTTACAACGTAACTCTGTTTAATATGCAAAAAAATCAATTATCAATATAGTGCAGCGATTCATTAAAGTGACACTAAACTCAGGAGTTAAATCTTTAAAATACATTCAGGTACCTTAACTATTAAGAAAAATGTATCTTATTTTTGTATCACATGGCTGTAGATCCTCCAATCATCTCTGAATTGGGGCTGACACTGTCCTTCCTTCTGGAGGGTGGCTACTTTTATTTCCCATGGTCCCCGTGTGTGTTGTAAAGTAGTCACCGCTCCAAGCTCGCTCCAGTGATGGACTACAATCTCAATACAAATTGCTAAATTAAACATGAGATTGTAGTCCATCATGGGAGCGAGCTTGGAGCGGTGGTTACTTTACAACACACACAGGGACCATACAAAAAAAACCAATAGGGACAACCAGTGATGTCACTGGTTGCTCTGGTCAGCAGTGACAGCTAGCTCCGCTTAACTGTTTCCTATTGGCCGGCACCTGCTAATCTTCTAGCAGGTCCTAGCCAATAAATAACAACTGGACGGAGCCGGCCGTGATGTCACGGCAGGCTCCGCCCAGTTGTTATTGTTTAATGACAGATCAGCGCCCCCAGGCCATTTGGGGACGCTGATCTGTCATTACAACTGGGCGGAGCCATCTGTGAGATCACGCCTGGCTCCGCCCTGCTATTATTTGCGGGGTGAAAGGCCCGCCTTTGGCAGGCCATTCGCCCCACTGCAGCTGTCACATAAGCTCAGTCGAGCCGAGGCAAATGCCTTTGGCTCGGCTGAGCCGATCGGCTGCCTTCGGCTGCTTTTCGGGGTTTATTGA